ATTGACTGATTGGGAGGTAGGACTTTGGTATCATATCATTGAACCTTTCTACTTAAGGAAGACACATATAACTTTTACCTTTTGCCACTTCTTTGGTATATGTCGCCAGGCTATACATGCTGTAAATATGCGACACAATGTGTAATTAAAGTTTCATGTCCATTTTGAAGTAGAATGAGATATATTTTATCTACTACTGGGGATTTGTATGGTTCAAATTTGTCTGTAGCCCATCTTATCTTGTTTGGCCTTGATATTTCTAAAGCTAGCCTCTATTTCAAAGGAGTTGGCGTACGAGGCCTTCTTTGAGGGCTGTATGCTACTATAGGGTCTAACAAAATTTCTGCGGCCGGAAAGTGTACTTCTGTAAGACGTTTCATCGAAGGTTTTTGTAAAGGTTTCATCTTCTTTCTTAATAAATTTTACTTGGTTTGCAGTACCCTCTTCAGCTAAGACTTTATGGATCCTAGAGAATGTGGGTGTTTCACATAACTTCTCACTGAACTTTCTCTACGATTATCTTCCATAAATACCCACAATTAGGAGACTACCATTACTACACTGTATTCATTGTACATTCTTTGGAACTCACTAATCAGTGGAATGTATTTGACATACGTTTCTCTCTTCAGTATGTAGCTTGTAGCTGAGGCAGATTAAGTTTGATTTACTTTGCTTGTCCAAAAGTACTATATGTGGAAGCGCAATTCCAATAAATATAGCAATAGTTGTTTTTTCATTTTCTTTTTAGTTTCGTCTACGGCGTAACGCAGAACTGGTGTCTCATTTATATCGCATGTCCTGCATCTAACATCCACTATATCCAAAAATTGAGCGCGTTGTCCGAGTGTATTAATTACGGCATTCTAGCAAGCTAACAAGAGCAGGTACTACAAGACAAAAGAGTTTATTATCTTTATAAATGTATGATTAATTCAAATTCAAAAATGAATGTAAACGAGCCCATTGACTAATACCTCTCAGTGGCTTAATAATAAATATAAACAACAATAAATATAGTTTGCCTATTTCTTTCTACTGCTTAACATAATTGTACTGATTGGGCTAAATTCAATGACATGGGGCTCGTATTTTGTGTGCTTTTTTTTCGTCTAGTTCGAACAGAAAAGTATTTAAGTATAATACACCTCAAAAATAAATGAAACCGTTCGTGTGATAAATAAAAGCATTACTTATCAAACATATTCTATTACAGTGAAACCATCTCGATTAACCTTAGCAACAGGACTACGCTGGAAAATCTTTGGTAAAAGGAAATAAGAAGAACTCGATATCAAATACAGAAAACTATATTGACTGCTTGGAAAAGATTCCAGCCATTTGTATGTAACAATTTTAAGACCGTATAGACATGAGGCATTCAGCTTTAATTTAATGCTAAAAATAACAATGCTCAAATCATCTAACGCTTCCATAACCCTTCAGAAACCTTCGTAGGAGTAGAAACCCGAAAAATTTGACCCCTACCTGGTGTTTTATACTGTCACAATGTCTAGTATTAACTTTAGCTCCTTGTCAAATTTCAACAAGTTGACATTATCAGTAGAAGGTTAGGTACTAGTTATGAGTGTTCAATTCAATGCTCTAAAGATACGGTTCATTAGGACAGTTTTTGTAGAAGTGGTTTCTTAGAATATAAATTAGTTCAACTTGTTCTGTTGATACATGAAGGTGAAAATAATGAGTTCCCATAAATTAAATAACGCGTTAATGGAAGAAGAAGACGAAGAACTTTTATTTTTTGTGTAGTAATGATCAAAATAAAGCAATATTTTTGTCTATTGTCTTTGTAACTCGAGTTTTTTACTTGCTAAAGTGCGGGATGCTCCTTCATCATATCATTTAATATTTCATCCACTTCCGAAGAAAATGTCGATGACATTTTATTACTTTAATTACGACACAAATTATACTAACTTCTTTTCACTTGACAGTTCTGTATGCTCAGCTGAATGTCTTAATGCATGAATATTATGCAAAATACGTGATTTACAATTAAATTCGAGGGGGTAACTGACATCAATAAATATGAGTGGCACAGGCAACAAGAATCGTAATGATTAAAATTAAAAACAGACAAATTAATTGGTACGATATTAGATAAAGTATTCGGTTGTTGATTTACTAGTCACTTGTGTGGAAAAAATTAAGGACTTTAACCGAAAATGTCCCTGTAGCTATATATCAGACACTTATGATAAACTATTGGTCCAAAGAATCGACAAGCTAGAGTTATTCAGAGGCAATAATGCCTGAGTACTACAGGAGCCATAAAAATGAGTCCAACAGCAGCTATAGAAGTCGTGCTAAACCTAACGTCACTAAATTATATTCATTCAAAGTGAAGCCAGGCCTGCCATGTATAGACTGCACAAAGGTCCGTCAGCTATAAGCAGTTTGCATGGAGGTGACTACTTTGAGCTATATAAAGAGTTGGAGAACGAAGAAATAATGGGAATGCTTCAGATGAAATTCTCGCAAATAAGTATACCAGACAGGGAAGCGTGGATGGGAGGACCTCCTATTCACGCAGAATTCACTTGGTATACAGATCGCTCCACAACCCATGAAGGTTCAGAAATAGGTATATTAGGTATATATATTACCAAGTCAAAGACAAGGTAAATGAAAAAACCATTGTCAGATACTGTGTGGTATTGTTTCCAAGCTCTTACAGAGCTGGGTAGTCAAAACATAGTAATCTTAGCCTGGGTAGCAGGCCACAGAAGATATAATGGCAACAAAGAGATTCTTATTGAACCACAACTTTTTTGTGGTGTCACAAAGACAGCTATCAGAATATGCACAAAGCAGTAGATGTTTAAAAAATCTGAGAAATGGTGAAAAAATTCACCAGGACAGAGACAGGTCAAAGAATTCTTAGAAGGACCGTGGCATAGTGGAGTATTACTATGGACGAACCTGACCATATTGTTTTGCAAAGAAAAATGTTTTTTGCGTAGTCAGATAACCACAGCGTCATAAACAGGCCACTTGAGTTACCGCAACCTCGCTCCCCGTCTGTTTCGTCAGTTGCTGTCTACGTGCTCTTACGGATGCACGTCATTGATTTACTGCGTCATTCAGTTTACGTTTACTGTGCTGTTATTGCAATTAAGTAAATATTTACACAATGGATATTGAAGATAAAGGTATGTGCTGTATTTACTAGTATTTAATTTAAACGTTTCTGTTAATATAGTCAAATATGTGTGAGTCATATTTGCTGTCGAAATAGGTAATTTTTTTTTCATTAAATTTATCAAACTCAAAACTTTTTGTTTATGTGTCAGGTTTTGTCGGGCAAAATTTTTTATGGCAAGTTAAAGTTTAAGTATTTTGCAACATGTTTATGAAAAAAAATCTTGCACTTACTTGCACCTTTTCTTTTATGGCTAAGAGATAAAGTATACTGAATAATATTGAATTTTGAGAATGTTAATAGGTTGTAAGTTCTTTATTTCTTTTCCAGATTTGTCAGGGAACATAAAGATTTTTTCCTACAAAGAACTTTCATTTAAAATTGCCCCATAAAGAATTTGGACAAGAACATTTTGTTTATGGAAGAAAAAGTCTTAGAAATTGTTTTCTCTCCGAAAACCGAAATAGATACAGTAAAACGTTCCCTGCGTTATTTTAAAAGTGATTTCAAAAATCTTGTAGATTGGAAAAAAAAAACAGATACGAGTATGGCTGGAAAAAACATTAACGTACCTACTTGGTCACATAAATCAGCACCAAAATAAGGCAGACCCACAAAACCTTTTGAAAAATTAAGTGACCGAAGCAAGAGGCGTAAAGCGCATGATATAAGATCAAAAACTTCTGCTGAAGAACTAACTTTTGCCGCTTCTATGAAACAAAGGGCTTCTGGAAACACTGACCTATCTAAATTAATAACAGAGGCAACAGCCACTCTAACACGTGCTAAAAAAATTCGAAGGGCTTTGTTCCAAAAATAAATCATCAAACAGCATACTCTATTTGAAGCCTTGTCTCATTTTGTAGAGGCAGATCTCACAATAAAATAGTACGAAGTGATACAGTCTGCTAACAAAAATATTTATCCTTGTTATTCTTTGCTTAAAAAGGCCAAGCAAGAGTGATAGGCACCTCGTAGCTCGTGAGCCAGCCTACAGATTTAACGTCGCCAAGAGGTGCTTCTCTTATATCGGCTGGTGTTAGCCTATACTCGCCGAAAACAAATCTTCTAATAAATCATAAAGGATATGCTCGATGGGCTCATCTTCTTGTTCGCACCCTCTGCAAAGTGCGGATTCTGACAGCCCCATGATATGGAGATGCTTTTCTACTTGGCAATGCCTGTGACCAGACGCAGATTCTGTATAGTCATAGTCAAGTATTTGTTTGCTGCAGTGTTGTCAGGATAACTTAAGTAGTTTCTTGTTTCATCCCATCTTTCCTTGAATTTCACAAGGGAATGTTCTTTAATTAGGTCTGTTACTACCGATTTTGTCAGGCCAATAGAAGGGCCAGGTCCAAAAAGTATTTGGTTGGCTGCTTTTTTGGCTAGTGAATCGACAAGACGGTTACTTTTCGATGTGGCGTGACCTTTGATCCATTTTAAGGTTACCATATTGTTGATGGATACTTCGGCCAAAGCTTCGTGACATTCTTGTACTAACCCTAAATAAATTCGTGGTCTGTTCAGGGTGAGTAGTGCTTGTCTGCTATCTGTATCGATGAGCATCTTTCTTCCAGTGACTTTATTTCTGGTCAGAAGCCATACATGTTACGGAAACACGTGCAGAAGTTCATTTACAAGAACTGCTTGACCATACTTCTACAAGATTATGTGAATATCTAAAGAAGGTACTAGAAAATACCACCGAAGAAGAAAGAAATAATATTGAACTTATCACTAAATGGGGCTGTGATGGGTCACAAGTGTCCCAATTCAAATAAAAATTCGAAAACAGTTTAGATAGAGATGCTAACATTCTTCAGAGTTCACTGGTTCCTATAAGATTGATAACGAAGGTTGGTGACAGTGAAAAGTTTTGTTTAAGAAACAACAATCACCACCAAGAAAGAGAAGCTGTATATAGATAATCAAGTCAAGCATCTTAAAAAATCCGAAATAACGAATGGTGTTTGTGTTCACGTAAAACACACTTTAGTGTTTATAATGGTCGACGCAAAAATCTGCAATGCTGTCACTAATACGAAATCCACAATGAGGTGTTATATTTGCTGACTGACCGCAAAAGACTTTAATGATTTAATGATTTTTCGAATCACTTCTGCATTTAGCGTACAAACTTCCCATCAAAAAATGGAGGCTCGCAAGTGCAGAAGAAAAAGAAATCCATGCTGAAACAGAGAAGAGAATACAAGAGGCGTTTAAAGTATAAATGGAGCTGTTGGTAAATATTTCCAAAGCTGGCTTTGGGAATACAAATGATGGGAACACCTCGCAAAAGTTTTTTCAAGATCCCGAGATGTCTGCTATAAAGATTCAAGGTTATACTTGAAGCATTGAGCAGTGGACATATGATTGATATCGAGAAATTTTCAGCTTATGCATCTGAGACTGCAGAGCTATATGTGAACTTATACAACTGGCATCCCATGACGCCAACCGTTCACAAAATATTGGTTCACGGAGCAACTGTGATTTCGGAAGCTTCATTGACAATTGTTTACCTATCGGAGAAGGCTGCAGAAGCCCGGAATAAACATTTCCGTTTGTACAGGCTGAACTTTACGAGGAAATTCTCTCGAGAAATTTGCAATAGGGACACACTAAACAGGCTTTTGCTTACCTCTGATCACGTTACGTGGAAACAAAAGCAAGCACAGAGAAGAAAAAAAGTAGATCAGAAGCAGAAGAAATTAAAAATAAGAAAAAGAAATAATTGAGTCGGAGGACGAATATGATGTAGACGAATCTGACTATTTTTTTTTTATTTGCCGTTGTAGTTTTTATATTTTGCAAAATAAAAGGTAGTTTTACATCTAAATAGTCTTTCGAAGCAATTTTGAGCCTAAAAATTCATTCATTATATTTTGGCCAGAAATTTGATAAAACTGTGCCTCGCCTAAACTCACTGAGCATCTACTAAGTCTTAGTAGAAAAAATACTAGAGAACTAGTAGGTTTATTACCAGGGCATTGTAGGATTAACAAACTTGTATAATATCGGTCTGGCAGAAGAGACCTCGTGCCGATTCTGCCAGGAAGAGAAGAAAACTGAATAACACATATTGTGCTATTACGAAGGTCTATCAAGACTAAGATTTCTTACACTTGGACAAGAAAAACCAAGGGAAACTAGCTACGCCGGAGAACTACTACCTAGCCTATGGAGTCTACTACAAAAAAAAGAGTTAGACAAGGTACTCTAAACAACGATTAAAGGATATCCCATTAGATCTGAAAAGGTCAAGGAGGAGGAGGCCACATGGCACACAGTCCTAATTAAATCTATATACAGGGTATAAAAGAATCATCGGGTTGGACAAAGCTATATTTCGGAAAGTATGGTGGATACAATAATAAAGGGTATGTCGTTAGACAGAGAAAACATTACATTTTTAGCGCGTTACAAATATTCAATGTGGACTCCTCGAATCACACGACAGATGTCCAAACGATAGTCCAGTTCAGTCCACACACTCTGCAATGTATCGCAGTCGATACTGTTGACAGCAGCGGTAATGCGTCTTCTGAGCTCCGCCAGTGTTACAGGTAGAGGTGGTACGAACACCGTGTCTTTAATGTACCCCCAAAAATAAAAATCGCATGGTGTAAGATCAGGAGAGTTGGGAGGCAACGCAAACATTGCCAAATCGTGTTCCGCACAACGGCCTATCCAACGATGAGGGAGTTCCTCGTTTAGATACCCACGCACGTCATTTCATTATGCCATTTTGTTGGTATATAAAGTTGTTGGAATCAGACGTCAGTTGCGGCATTAACCACAGATGCAACATATCGAGGTACGAAATAACGGTCACAGTGTTTTCATTAAAGAAAAACGGTCCATACACTTTCGTGCTGAATACGGCACAAAAAACATTAAATTTTGGAGAATTCCTTTCATGTTGGACAGTTGCATGAGGATTTTCAATGCCCCATATCCGAATATTGTGACGGTTCACCTTGCCACTTAAATAAAATGTCGCTTCGTCGCTGAACACCAGACGGTTAGCGAATCCGTCACCCTCCATGGCTTCCTGCATGTCATTACAGAACTGTAGTCGCTTGACACAGTCATTTGGTCTTAACTTTTGCAACAGATGTTTACGGTACGGTTTGAATCGCAATCGTTTCCGCAAAACTTTCCACACAGTTTGCTGCGGCATACCAAGTGCACGGCCTGCTTGACTAGTGGATTGTTGTGGCGACTGCACGAAACATTAGCTTTGTTCGGCTTACTTTTGAGGACGGTTTAAAATCGTTATAATCATGCGCATTTAAATTTACGTGTTCGGGTTTCTCCAAATCTAGTCCTAGGATACTCTAGGATTGATTGTTTCGTGTGTAATTTAGTGCGCAACTAATTTCATGCAGTTCTGAATCGTTCTGAAACGTTATAAAATTGGTAAGCCGAACAAAGCTAGTGTCTAACCGCATCCACTGTTGCGTCGGACACTCGTGGTCGTCCGGTGCTTTTACGTTTCTCAAGTACACCTGTAGTCTTGAAGTTTCGATACCATCGTAGAATGCTCTGATGACCTGGAGGAGCAATTTCGTATTCCCGTCGGAATGTACGTTGCACTGTCACAACCGATAAACAACTCGCGTATTCTAACACACAGAATGCTTTCTGCTGCATAGTCGCTATTTTTATTACTGCTGACGTGACGTGGCGTGCGCATGACCAGCTGCCTCCGCACGCGCGCGTTGTAAACGTAGAGGTTGCCGCTGCCTATAGACATGTCATTTATTATTTTATCCATCATACTTTCCAAATTATAGCTTTGTCAAACCCGATGATTCTTTTATAGTAGCCCATAATAGTCACTAAATAATCAATATTGTTACTCGTATATTGTTGAAACGATTGACTGCCGTGTCTTAGTTAAGTCTGTAGGTGTAAATTTTTAGGTTGCTTAATACAAAACACTCTTGTGCTTCGAGGTACTCTTGTTTTTCCCAAGTACAGATTATTATCTGGTTAAATATCAAAAATGAATAATATTAAAATATTAGAAAAATTTTAAGAACATACAGATGGATTAAAAGAAAATGAAAGAAATCAATCGAATTTCCAAATCTGACTTAAAATAAAACAGTCGTACACAGAGATTGGTTGCCACAGTATAACATTGAAGTATATCATTTATGCTAGAAGTGTGATATTTTTATCATCACAATGGGGATATTTTTATCATAACAAGGGTAATATGAGATACTTTTCATAGATGATCGTAGGAAAAGTTGGTTTTTAAACACTTTAACTTCTGAAACATCATATTATTAGTGCAGACCCGAATAATATCTACTATATTTTTTCTTTTACCAGATGTAATATTGTTTTATATAAATCAAAAAATATACTGAAAGACTCTTCTGTCCGAAAATGACTAAAACATTTATGCAGAATAATATGTATAGGAATATTAGCCACAGTTGACCAATATTTACTGATGACTATTTTAATATTAAAAACATACCTCTTCTGTGGTGCTTCCTTCTTCTGGAAACATCTTTAAACCTCCTATTTGCTGTTACAAGAAATATGTAATAATAAAAATGTAAATAACAATATTTTCACGTAGCAACAGTGTCTAAAATTAAAAAAATCTTCTATGTATTAAAAATAATGTTTTTGCTGCTCTAATAATCAGGTTACCCGTGTCTGAAAAAGCACAGTGAGCAAATAAAATTTTATCTTCATACATTTTTAAAATTAGCTTCCCAATGAATAATTCCTAACTGATTTTTTTATGGATTTACGTTCAAATATATGTATTATCTATACAGTATGGTTCAAATGAAAGGAATAAATTTATTATAATGGAAGAAGTTGGTTTTTCGAAAAAATGCACGGACAGGTCAATTTTGTTTACTAAAAGCGCAATTTTTTAAAACAAGTTTCCCCCATTTCTCAGTTTTGGGCAGTGACGTCATTGGCAATTTTTTTAAATAGTAACCCCAATTTTTTTTCTTGATTTTGATAGATCTTGCAATTTCCTATTCGGAAAATATTTTAAATATCTTACATAACAATTTTTTTGCATGAAAGTCATTTAAAGATCAGACACATAAATTTTATTTTGAACGAAAGATAATTATTTGTAATTAAGTGATTAATCTAACAAAATAATAATAACGAAAAAGAATTTAATGACAATTTCACAGCAAAATAATTAAAAAATATTCTACTAAATTAGGTGTTCAAATTTCCTCCACCGACATATTGCCTTTTATTAGTACAATAAATATTATAATAATAATAATAATAATAATAATAATACTCTCCATTCACTGTTGGGTTCTAATTAACAGTGCTGTTCCTAAAGTGGCGCTGGGAAACAGTAACAAAGCCTGCACAGAACACGAGGCGAAATAACCTTAGCAGTTGAAGCCGATGACACACAAAAAAAAATACTCTCTCTAATTCACCCCCTTTCGAGTGAATTTTAACCCCAAAAGCTGAGCTTGTGCGGGGAAAGGGACGACTATTATTATTATTTGCCGTGGCGCTCCGGGGCGACTTAAAGATGGATTGATGGTGCCATTTGACTTACAGGTGAGGAAAACCCGGAAAACCTCACCCACCATCATCGAGACGGTAATGTATGGTGATTTTTTATAATCTGCATGTCATATCAACAGAAATTGAATTTCTATTAATACGGCACACATCAAATCCTATACCGAACCATGCAATATAATTAAAAATCCACATGGTCTGGTCTGGGATTCGAAGCCCAGCAGTCTCTGACACATAAACTTGCTTATAAATGAATATAAGCGCGTTAACCGCTACACCACCGACCCGATATATTATTATTATTATATTCATTAAATACAACCAAATCTATATCAAGTGCTCAAATTGTTGACCCTCAGCTAAAATACAATGGGAAAGACGTGCAGCGATCTCTTCTTGGACGTTCTCCAAAATTTCCGGAGTTATGTTTACAATCTCAATACGTATCCGTTCTTTGAGATCATTGATATTTTGTGGTCTATTTTGGTACACTTTACTTTTCAAGTATCCCTATAAAAAAAATAAAGAGGAGTTAAATCGGGTGACCTAGGAGCAGGGGCGGCTTGTGACCAAAATTTTGGGGGTTCACAGTGACAGAATATAGATATCAGTACAGATATATAAAAAAACCTTTCGGTGTTTTTGAAAGTTTACAATATACCGTTCTAAAACACTGACAGTTTTTTACCTATATCTGTACCGACATCTATATTCTACTACTATAAACCCCCAAAATTTTGGCCATTCTATTGATTCTCTTCGACCTATCCACCGATTTGGGCAGATGTTCAAGTAGTTTTGCACCAAGACAGCATAGTGTGGAGGCGCACCGTCTTGCTGTAGCCACAAATCATTTCTGTTTGGGAACAATCGGTTCAATTCGGGGATCAAGAAGTTTTGAGGAAATTCTAAATATCGTGGACCTGTTATGGTTTCTTCAAAAAAGTATGGCCCAATAGTTTTATTAGCTATTATTCCCGCCCAAACATTCACTAAAACTGGGTATTGAGTATGATACTCTTGCATCCAGTGTGGATTTTCGGTAGCCCAATACCAAGAAGTCTGACGATTGACATGGCCGTTTAGTAAAAATGTAGATTCATCGGAAAAAAGTATATTTTTTAAAAACATTGGATTTCTGTTGTTTTTGTCCATTATAATTTCACAGAATTCAACTGGTTTATCAAAATCATCTTCCATAAGTTCTTGTACTAAAGTAACTTTGTAGGGATGCCACTTTTGCTTCTTTAGCGTTCTAAGAACTGTTGAATTTCCCAAGTCA